ACACCATCTCCATCTCGCCGGAGGGCGTGGCCGCATTGGAGGGCGCTACCATCTCGATCTCGCCAAAGGGCGCGGCCGCAATGGAGAGCGCTGGCTCGACATGGCTCGTGAATACTCCCTGCCATCCACGTTCGCATCGCCTCTTGTTCATGGCGAACAAAGCGGAAGGATGATCAATGTGAGGAAAGGAAAGAGGAGTATCTCGGTGACGTGGACGCCCACAAGTCATGACAGACGCAGCCGTAAGTACCTCATGGTCACCTGCATGACCACGAGAACCAGAGTAGATCCAGCAACATGGGATTACCAAAAACAAGAAAGAAATATACAATGAGGCGACGATGGGTTTACACGAAGGGATGGAGCCAGAGTGCGGTAGGGGCCATTGCCCCCGCCTTCACGAACAACACAACAACATTTTTACTTTATATATATTAATAGCATATATTTGTAAGAAAGGTAGTAGTCATCCATGTTTTATCGTCGTCAAACTTATTGAGCGGTACTATTATTATATGTCGATTTTCTTTATGTATAACTTCTAACTCCACCCCTATTTAGGCCATGTTTGGATCCACCTAACTGAAGCTTACTTAATTAAAATTTCAAAGTTAATCTTTAGCCATTTAAAAGTTCAACCAGCTAAACTTTATTTGAGGTGTTTGGATCCTCTAGCTAATAGACTCAGCTAAACTTTAGTTGGGTTGAAATAGGTAAACTCAACCAAACTTTAGTTGGGCTTTTAGCTAGAACGTTTGGATCCCTAGTAGCTAAATTTAGCCAGCTAAAGTTTAGCTGGTGGATCTAAATAGGCCCTTAGAGGATGACTGAGGTTCAGTTGCTGGCATTAAAGCAACATCCTAACAATCATGACTAGCGTGCGGCATGCCCTTGCAAGGTTTGAGATACATGGGAGTTGCTAAAGATGAGGACGCAAGTTAATTACAAGATATATAAAAGTTGTTAGAGGGTGGAAAGATATAGAGAGGAATTTTATTCAAATGAGTCGCCAAATAATAATCTGGAGAGCGAACACTCTTGGAGATGCTGAGAGCGAGTTTTAGGGCCCGTTTGAATTGGATTCGGATTATAGAATATAGGGGAACTTCCGAAAATCACATCGAACAAGGTAGATTCTATCTCGGATTCCAAAATCTTCCTAGCTACTCCCTCCATCCCAAACTATAAGTCGTTCCAACTTTCTTGAAAAGTCAAAACATCTCAAGTTTGACCCAATTTATATAATATAATAATAATATTTATGATACCAAATAAGTATCATTAGATTCTCGATTAATTATATTCTTATAGTATACCTATTTGATGTTTTAAATCTTTGTAATTCTCTCTATAATTTTTGTCAAACTTAGGATGCTTCGACTCTCTGAGAAAATTATAATGAATTATAATTTAGAACGGATGGAGTATATTACTAGAATATGAGAATCCACACCAACCTGGCTAAAAAAAATTAGATAACGGATGGAGAAATGTGTGACTAGTCTGAGTTACTATAGTCTGAGTTACTAGCTGATGCAACACCGAGGGTATTGTGGCCTTGTGGGTATGGACTCCTTCAACCATTGTATAATGTCTAGGTTAGAATCTAAAGAACCAAATATGTACTTCCTCCATCCGTCAGGAAAGAATGCAATTTTAACACGAAAGATCATGGTTTTATATCTCAAGTTCGATAAATTATAGATAAAAAGTATCAATATTTATGATATCTAATAAATATCATTAGATTAATTATGAAATATATTTTTATAATAAAATATTTTCGAGACATAGATGTGAATAGTATTTACTAGAAATTTGGTGAAACATGAACTACTTTTGCTGGCACGCAACACACGGTTGCGTTCTTTTGTGGACGCATGGAGTAAAATTTAAAGTCTGGAATCCAGATTTTTGAGAATGTCTATCTAGGATCAAGATTTTCAAATTTCATAGGGTATCGAAACATGACCTTAACCCTGTACCTGGTGAGAGGATAGTTGCCAAAATAGCCGCGTGCGAGACGGGGTCGGCGTCGGCGTCGGCCTACTCCTCGTGCATATGGTCAGTACGGACGTCCCGGGTCCGTTGCCGTGGGACCAGCAGTCGGAGCGGTCTGCGGTTATCGGTAGCACGCGCCGCTGCGCCTGCGCGCGCATAGGCAATGAGGCATAGCTGAGCGGCTGTCCGGTTTGTACGCGGCAGCTGCAGCGCAGGCAGGGCCGGGGCCGGGGCCTCGGTGGCGTGGCAGAAGAGGCGGGCAGCGGCGCAGGGCAGTGGGCACGGGCAGACAGGCCGCGTCTTGTCGATGGCAGATCTTCCCTCCGTTTTGTCTGCAGCCTGCCGGGCCAGCTTTCACTGTTCCATCGCATCGCATTCACTCCCTCCTGTTCCGTGTTCTCTCCTCCTCGTCTACTCCCTCTCTCATGTTTACTGCTCTGCTCCCCCCCTTGGGTGCGCACGCAACAAGCGGGGCAACTGGGCCGTCTGGGCATGCATCGCGAGGTTGCACGCGGTGCGGTGCCGTGACGTGACGTGACAGAGATCGAGCAGGGCCGGCGCCGAGATCCGCCGGTCGGGAGCGGTGCCGGCGCTTGGCAGCTCGCGGGCCACGCGGCGGTCGGCGAAGCTCGGTAACCTGGTGGTGGCCCGGGCCAGCACAACAACGCGGCTGCTCGCTTCTTTCTCCATCGGGCTCCGTCTGCGGCGCGGCCGGCGATGATAGGCGAGGAGGCATCATCACGCAGCGAATTCGACGTGCACGCGGGTGGACGGACGGCGGACGCGGCTGACGAGGGAGCTTGTCACTGCACGCCTGCACCTTGTTTGTTGCCTGTTGGACGGACGGGGGGTGCCGCTGGATGCCCGGAACCGGAAGCAGAACGCCGAACACGACGCGCCTAGCCTCTCGGGCTCTCGGCACAATGACCAAACTGCCATTGGCCTGCCGCGTGATACGGCGTGCGTACCGGCCGTCGTTGCAAAACACTGGGCGGCGCCGCTCCGATTCCGATAGTCCTACAAGATGCAGGGCGGGCAGCGCAGGATAGGATAAGATAGCACGCAGCACGTTGGCCTAGTACTGTACTCCGTACATGTCCTAGTAGATGCTGCGACGGTCTGACCATGATGGCACATTGGCTGCGTGCCTCTGGCCTCTGCTGCATGCCCTCTGCACACTGCACTGCAGAGTGCATACTGCAGGACGTAGTACACCGTACTGCTACATGCTCCTTGCTGCAGCGAGCCTGCCAGCTAGCTAGTACCATGCCTAGCACGACTGGACGAGTTGTAGTCGTGGTACGTGCGGCGCTGCTGTGCCGCTGACGCTGTCGCAAGGGGTGCGTGCTGTGGCCAGTGGCTTCGAAGGCTTTGCAGTTTGACCTGCGATGTGATGTGACCAGCACGGCGACGCCCGTGAATGTGCGATTTGATATGTCCCTGTGCCGCCGTCTGTGCGTGCGAGTTGATTCTCTTGGCTGGAATTAACCGTTTGGAGTATTATAATAACAATCTGGCAGGGGATGTCATTTGAGTGCAGCTACCCACAGTGACACTTGTTTTTTTTATATCAAATGGATTTATTCTTCTTCTCATGATGAGATACTTCTCCTTATGCCAGTCAAAGAAAAACACATACTAGTATATTCCGTGTTTCTTTAAACAAAAAACATATATAATCTGTGTCACCGTGGATATGCATCTACAGTACTCCATCCGTTCCGAATTACAAGTCACTTTGACTTTTTTGGTACATTAATTTTGCTATGCATCTTGATATAACAACATGTCTAAATACATAGCAAAATGAATGAACCAAAAAAATCAAAGTGACTTATAATTTAGAACGGATGGAGTATGTGATAAAACCACTTTCAGTCCTATCTCTTACGATACTCCTATGTCCTAAAAAGAGTAAACTTTAGGACATTTTGTCTTTTTTTCTAGTATATATTGCTTTTACTATGTCTAGACATATAGTGTATATCTAAGTGCGTATAATTACATATCTACAAAAACGAAAGCATCTTATAATTTGAAAACGAGGGAACATCAATGTGGATAAATATGTCTAAATCCATAGCTGAAATGACAATTTTTGTAGGATGGAAGATGCACATTCATTGATTCCAATGGAACCGTGGCATTGATGCTAATGTACTTTTGCTTCATGTTATGCTTCATCAGTTTTAACAAATACCCTATTTCTTATGGCAGCGAAAATGGATGGAGCCCGCATCGCCCTGTTTGCTTGAACTTATCAGCCCGACTTATTAGCCATGGTACAATATTTTTCTCTCACAACAAAAACAGCATCAGTCGGCTTATCAGCCACAAAAACTATCAGCTGAACAGTAGTTAGTTTCCTTTTGGTGAAAGCTATCTACTTGAATTCAATTCTTTGACTTTGATACGGATGCTCACATTTTTCTAGATTTGTTTTAAGATTTAATGATGCTATTCTTTCAGTGATAGTAGATATGTCAGTCTACGTGTATGCTCATATTTTCCTAAATTTATTATATGATTTGACTATGCTATTCTTTTAGTAGCAGGAGATATGTCCGTCCACGGTAAGTGTGCGTACATGTATATGAGAGGGCATGTGTTGAGTGTTGTACTGTAATTCACAAAAAAAATAAAATGGAAGGAGCCTATTTATTTCCATGGGTCGATCAATGTTTACGATGGGCCACTTTACAAGCCCAGAGGCTGGTTGCCAGATGGGCTGGACTCACAGTTCCATCCAGAAAAAGAAATCCGTTTTGGCCCAAGGGAAGCCGCACCACGAGGGTCCAACTGACGCTCGGTGTGTTTGTCAAAAAAAAAAAAACAAATGACGTTCGGGCTCCCCAATGCCCCCACCCGGAAAATTTTCGATCTGTTTTGGTCCAATCGCTCGCAGGTCGCAGCGCTTCGACCCGGACCCCGGAGCGGAGGGGAATCCACAGGACCACAGCTGCGGTGGGAGCAACAGGGACGGCTGAGGCGGTGAAACCATGGAGAAGCCGCTACCGGAGCCCGCCCCCTCGGCAGCCGTGCAGGAGGTGGCGGAGCGGTTCAGGGTCTGTTCGGCAGCACTGGAAAAAAAAGTCAAAATACTGTTCCGACTGATTGATGCGAGAGAAAAATACTATTTCAGCTCAAAACACAATGCATGTGACTGTTCATGTGAACAGTGTTTTTCTGAGAGCGCTGGCCAGCCCAGCCGAACGCGCGGCAGGTCGCTCGTCGACCCCGATGACGTCGCCTCCATCAGGCTGACGCAGCACCTCATGTGAGCTCGCCCGCTCCCCTTCCTTCCACCCCCCGATCCCGTCGAGCCCTGAATTCATCAGTGCTACTGCTGCGGCTTTCAGTTGCTGTGCCTAGCGTGCTAATTGAGATATTTTTGGGTATTTTCCTCGACAGATTTAGACGGTTCTGGGGCTAGGTTCAGTGCAATATAATTGGCTATTTGCCATTGCAATTGTTGCCTCCTTGCTTATAATTGCCACTACCAATCAGCCACCTATAGTAAATTACAGTATGTTCGGCTGGTATTAAAGCCGGCTGAAGCTGTTTCGTTGTGAGAGAAAAATACTGTAGATTCTAGCTGATAAGCCGGCTTATAAGTTCAAGCCGGCTGTTTTGTTGCTTGATTGCTTCCATGCCTGATGATGATTCATCATCTAAAGTGTGTGATGACATGTGCTGCTACTCTTTGCCTTTTGCTTCTCTGGGAAATATTTCCTAGGTGCTCACTAAAATTTCACATGGATCCATGACTACATGTATAGACCTCACAGTTAAACGAGTGTCATCATGGCGCTTAAGCCTTGTTTTCCATTGCTGCATTTGATCAAAGGGATTTTAAACTTCTCTGCCATTGAACGGACGCCTGTAATTTTGGGTTCATTCATGTGGTAACAGTGTGTTACAACATAAGTAATTGCTTTGGCAATATTTTTAGTAGGTTTTTGGCTTACTGAAGCATGTAGTAGATAAAAAGGCTGTTGGGAACTCAGGATCATAGTGAGGATCCTATGGCCCCGTTTGCTTGTCTTAAAGTTTGGCTTGTTCGTCTTGTTTTTTCAACTGGAACAGTGTTTTTCACTCACAACAATTCAGCCGGAACAGTGTTTTCAGTCAGTTTCAGCCAAAGTTCAGACCAGCGAACGGGGCCCATGTCCCATGGGTCCTGCCGTCCTGGCATGCCAAGGATTAGCTTTTCTTAATAAAAATGGAGGGTCTCATAGCATCATATGTAAATGATACTAAAAATTTTGCCGGCATATAAACCTTTATAGTATCTATAGTTAGTAAAGCTTGCATTAGTTAGTTTGCCTTCTTTCTACTAATTACAAGATGTTCTAAATATTATTATAGTTCAGATGTAGCACCTTCCAGTGGTTAAATCATATGAAAATGGAATTGTATTATTTAGAAAAAGTCAATTTTGATTGAAATTGGTGTGAACAAGTGCACTCAAATTTAGAAATTCAGTTAATATTTCAAAATTTACATTACAGACATCATAAGAGCAGATGTTAATATTTGCATGTGACATATGTATTTACCAAAGATGATAGCATGATGAATTCTATCATGTTGCAAAGAAAAAGGAACCTGCCTGTGGTTATGATCCTAAACTTTTATAGTATTACAGTTAGTTAAGGTTGCATTAGTTTAGTTTTCCTTCTCTGTATTAATTACAAGATGTTCTAAATTGTATTATTGTTTAGACATGTATGTTAAAGCCCTTCACTTGTATGACTATCTTTACTAGAACCATAAGTAAGGTGATCCTATCAAATCCTGAACTAGTATTTGCTTTAACTGACAAGAGCTTACAGAGGAAAAGCTATGCCTTGTCTTGTGCTGACTTATGAAGGTATGCCTTGTCTTGTGCTGGCATATCAGAATCCAACTTTAACTATGGATGGAACTTGACTTCCAAACTAGATGTGCATTCTGTGAAAGGTTCTGTTGATATCAGGTTGTCAGAATCTGTTTAGAAATTCTGGAAATCCTATCTACTATTATAATTAAGAGAGCCATTTGATCTACAAGTTCCTATTATCACTTGATGTATTTTTTAGGATTTTATCTTAAGAAAACTTGAATTTTTCCGATGATTCACTGGGCAGAGTACCGTTTGTTAGTAGTCAATACCTGCAAATTTAGCTTCTTGTTGCAAACAGCCCAAGATTCTAACATGTGAGTTTGGCTGTTTCTAAACCTTACTATTAATTACAATCCTCAAATGTACATAACTAAATGGATGTAGCTGTTGTATAACTTTTCCTTTTGCAATGGAAGAATGTACCTCTTAGGCACCTACTATCTCTAATAGAGACGCACTTGATACTTTAGGAGAACAGCATTTTCTAGCGCATTATGTACTCACTAATCTTCTATTGCAAATGAAATGTGACTGCCCTTTTTTTATTGCAAGTTTAAGAGTTAGGAGACATAAATATCTTATTATTCTTGCTGTTAATGGGTAGTTCCATAATTGGTTATAAACAATGTCTTTATGACATATATGCAACACCACTGGTGGTGGGCCAGAAGTACTTGGTGAAGGATTTATGCTCCTAATGTTGCTTCATTGTCTTCACGTAAGCAGAATCGTTTTTGGAGTCACTAGCATCCATTAACTTGAGATCATGGTACACAAAATATTCATGATTACTGTAATAGGAAGAATACAGATATCTACAAAATTGACTATTCTGTAAGGGATACTACAGATATTCAGACATTCAATGAAGAACTAAATGGCTAAATGCTACCTGGCATTTGAACAAAATGCTGCCCACCTTTTGACAGACATGTTAAGTGTTGCAGTTTTTTTCCATGAGATATGCTCTGATTATAGACTAACTTGCCTACCCCAGTTGATGAGTTATCATAAGAGGTCGATGCACACCAGATTATTTGTCATCCTATGAATCGATTAGAATTTTGAAATTATTCAGTGCTATACTGGGTCATACTGTCTAGTCTATGCTACCATGCAAAAGGTCTGCATGTACGTGAGCTTCCCCGCCTTATGTAAGTATTCTACTATTGCAGTTTCCCATAGAAATGATACATTTGTTCACATTTTGTGTGAAAATGTTTCTTATGCGAGCAAATTAGCTAATGAAGCATGAAGGATGTCATGCAACTTTTTGTAAAGAAATATGAGGAACACTAGTTGCTCGAGTGATTCACATCAATTGTTTGGCGATGGAACTTGCAATAATTATTGTCTTACTTTCCATTTCTTGTCATGATCATCTGAATTGTGATTGTGATTTCCCTTTACTATGCAGACTGGGGCGATTGCAAGATAGCAATGCAGTTCTCACTCATTTTAATGAGTATTCCGAACAATGCTTTGCAGAAGTGTCTAGTGATTTTGCTAGTAAAACTCGCCTTCTCAACTCCATGAAGGCTGATCTTGACCATATTTTCACAAAGCTAAGGTACCATTCCGTTTCTAAATTTTAATTGCTGTCCCCGTCTCTGTGAATTTTAATCTTCCAGTTGTACCGTGTCCTTGTGCTCAGTTTTTCTTATCCTCGAATTTGCATTTGGTGTCTACTCCTATGTCTAAGATAGAGATAGATTTCCAGCTAATTAGACCTCGTCTTTTTTTTGGGTGTAGAGGGATGAAATCTAGGCTAGCAGCTACTTATCCCCCTGATGGTGCAATGTCAAAGACGATGGACCAAAGACATGGGATTGCGGCAAATGAAGAGCTAGCAATGCGAGCAAGCATGGTTTTCTATGCAGAATCGATGCGTCCATTTAGAGATAAATTGTTTCGGTGCTTGCATACATAAATTTCTATGCATAGCAATTATGATTTGTCAATCTGACTAAATAAAATATTTATTTATGATGGTCAGTGCAGGTTTCTAAAAAACTAGATAAATAATGATTCTCGTAGTTTGTTTTCATGTACTTTGATTTTTTATTTCTATGCTTCTTGTGCCAACCATGTAAGCAAGAAATCATTTGGAATTCTGTACATTGTTGGAGCACATTTTATACATTGTTGAAACACAATTTTATACCTTGTTGACAGTTATCCATGCATTCCTGAAAGACTTTTATACATCATTGGAGGTCGCGGTGCCGGCTCTCCAGCGCCTCTCCGGCCCTTCCCACGGTGGCACAGTCCTCCCCCGACCTGTAGCGGACCCTCTCCCCTCGATGGCATCGCGGCGGCCACGTGGACGATGGCAGCGGCGCATCGGCCGCAGGGACCACTATTGTGTCGCGCAGGCTGCTCGGACGGTGACTGCGTCGCGTCGGCTTGCTACCTGGCGGTCTGGACGACTTCAGGACAGGGTTGGGTGGCCAGGGCAGCATTGGTCATCTAAGATTTTTTTTTGCAAGCGTAGGTTTCTATGCATGGTGAAACTGTGATTTCAAAAATGTTGGGTGATTTCTATGCTTAGTTGCATAGGTTTCCACACTAGTTGAATTCATCTTCATTGTTTTATTTGTTGATTTTGTGTTCCTATATGCGGTTTGTGCATAAGTTTCCATGCATGACTAAACTGTAACTTGTTATGTATTCTATACATTGTTGGTACACAATTTTATACATTGTGTGGAGTAGTTGTCTGAATATTTTTATACAATTGTGTACATTGCTGGAACACGATTCTATATATTGTTAGAGTATATTTCTATACATTGTAGGAACAGGTATCCATACATTGTTAGAAGACTTCTATACATTGTTGGATGACATTTCTATCTATGTAGCTTACATTAATTTCACAAATGGGTTTTTACGCATGCTAAAATATGTTTTTGCCGCTGTAAGATTTCTGCTCCTACTAAAACATGTTTCTATGCCTTGCAGCGATCGCATAGTGTGATCCTTGTTGTAGTTGATGGGTTTCTTTAGTTGTTGACTGAGTTTTTATGCACTGTTTCTCTATTAATTAAACATCCTCCAGTGAGAAATTAAACAAGCACGGTGTTGGTTGTGACCATTATGGATAGCCCACTATAGTGAAAAGTGTTTATGCATTGTTCCAAGCCCCAAGCACCCAGAAGCCAGAACCCTTTCAATACACAAGGTACAAAAATTAGTTTCTATGTGCAATACTCTCTTTTTTCTATGCATACAATACAAAGTGGAAACCCAAACCAACAGAAGTATTTTTTTCTTCATCCAACCACAATATTTTATGTAACCTCAGCGCAACAAACTTTTCTGCACACGCTGACCATTATTCTATGCATCCAATCGGCCATCACGTGCCATAATTCAAATTTCAAATTTTGGAGAAGACCATTATTCTATGCATCCAATCGGCCATCACGTGCCATAATTCAAATTTCAAATTTTGGAGAAGACGAGATCGTCTCCATGGTTTACGCTTGCAGTCTCCATGTTCTATACATTGTTCCCATGTTAATTATACATCCCCATAGTACGAAGCATGATGTTGGTGGAGACAATTACAGTTGTGTCAGGTTGAATGTCCATCTCGCGGAGAGGTTTATTTGGAGGTAACAAAATTAATTATTATTCATCCAACCACTAATTTATATGCAACGTCGGCGTCGAAAACTTTTCTGCGTATCTTGACCATTGATTCTATGCATCCAATCGGCCATCACGTGCCATGATTCAAATTTCAAATTTTAGAGAAGACGAGATCGTCTCCATGTTTTACGTTTACGGTCTCCATGTTTTATGCATTGTTCCTATGTTAATTATACACCACATAGTGAGAAGCATGATATTGGTGGAGGCGTTGTGTCAGGTGGAATATCCATCTCGTGGAGAAGTTTTTATATGGTAACAAAATTAATATTTATTCATCTAACTACTATTTTCTATGTAACATTGGTGCAAAAAACTTTTTTACACATCTTGACCATTGTTTTTATGCATCCAATCGGCCATCACGTGCTATGATTCAAGTTTCAAATTTATGAATTTTAAATTTTTCAAAAAAAATATTCACAATGGATCTTGAATCGTGCACAAAAATATCAAGAGTTCAATGGTGAAAGCCGTTTTTGAATCGGATGCTTCATCGAAGAATTATGATGAAAAAACAAAATAGATTAGATTAGATGCGTGCATGCATCCGTTTTGTCAGGTTATGTCAACTGTAAGGTCCCGTTTGACAGGGCTTCACTTCACTAGTGAAGCCATTTTTTTTTGGCTTCAGCTCCACGAACAGCTCCACCGGTGGAGCTGAAGCGGTTTTGATAAACCGTTTGGCAAAATGGCTTCCCTGTGAGAGCATGTTTTTAGGGACCTGGAGGAGGAGCCGGGAGAAGCCACTATTTTTAGCTCCTTCCCACCCCAAAGCTCTGTGAGAGCACGTTTTTAGGGGCTTCATCGGTGGAGCCGTTTCATTTTACCCCGTTTGGCAGAAAACGGCTCCAAACGGCTCCTAAAGCCGCTGGAGAAGCCCTGCCAAACGGGGCCTAAGTCTTGCTCGCGTGTGGGGTTTCTACGCGGTAACGAATTAATTTTAAAATCATCCAACTACTGATTTCTATGCAACATCATGATAAAAACTTTCCTTCGCATGGGACTAGGTCCGCAGGGTCCCCAACTTGCATGTGCGCGTCAGCTCCGCGGACTTATGGTTAGGTTGGCTGGGGCTCTCCATTAGCTATTGTAAGCCCTGGGCTCTCAATAGTAGGACCCTATATCTATATCTATATCTATATATCTATGGTGTAGAATATCGCGTGTGTGTGTGTATATATATATATATATATATATATATATATATATATATATATATATATATATATATATATATATATATAATCTAGTAATAAATGGTAAAATTTCTGGTCATTTTTTTCGTCCATCTATTTTTTTCGTTCACCTCCCCCTAACTACCGGTAGCAGTCGAGAGTTCCTTCCATCTAGAATTATATGACCCTAGATAGTCAGGACAAATAGAGCTTGAATAAACTGAATAGGAATAGGAATTTTCTGCTTTTTTTCCACGTGAACGTTCCAATTTATGTTAAGTGCAAGAGAGTTGTCCTTCACGCACACAGGTATCATACGTGAGTCCTCATCCATCTTGCACAAGGCTACTTTTTGAGGTAGACTAGATATCTAGAATTCTAATCAAATAGATCTCTTTGATATTAAGTAAACTAGAGATAGGAATCCTGATTAAATATGTTTTTTCTTTAGATGCAACCGTCCGTTTTTTAGAAGATAAGTCCTATTCCGGTTCTTTTTGGTTTTTTTCCGTTTCCCCTTCCCCACGTAAGGTTCTGTACGTGCCTTTTTTTTTCCATTTTTTGTCTCCCGTTTTTTGTATAAACAAAAATAATTAATATAGTATATTAGGGTTTTAATTAACTCTTTGTCCTTCTCTAATCTAATAAATAATTCGTGACTGGAACTAAATAATTTGTTATCTAATATATATCTATATCTATATATCTATGGTTCCACGACTTTTTAATTTTTCTTTTTTCAACTTATGTTTTTCTATAAACAGAAAAATAAATAATCCATGACTCAAATCAAAAATAATTTGTCATCCAATCTAATCTATTCTATATACCCATGCTTCCATGACTTTTTTGTTTTCTCTTTTTTGTCCTTTGCTTTTCTTTGTAAATAGAAAAATAATAATAAGTATACCATTATGAATCTTTGAACTTTTTATCATTTCCTAATAATAAATAGATATCTTCATCACTAATCAACCTAGATCAACGGATGGTCCAACTAATTAATCTTAATTAGCTTGTCATTCGGTCCAATCTATATCTATATACCTATTCTTATATATACCTTAATATTAAAGAGTCAGTTCATCACCCTAACTACCTAGATAGTGGAGAGTTTGCTTCTGTCCTGCTTTTTTTTTTACTTTTTTTACTTGACCTAGACTTATGACCTATGTTCATATGAGTTAGAACAACTCGCATCTAACGATGATGAATATAGTGTCTGATTCCAATACTCGTACCCCCCGCTAACAACTTGGGCCGATACGGAAGCCGGTTTCTTTGCGTATTGGGTTTCGTTGCAACACACGGGCACTTTTGCTAGTATATATGTATGTATGATCTGATGGCTGAAACTTGCTCTTTACATTACTATATAGATATATTCCTATATATAAATCGTGGGCTCTCGATCATGGAAAAGCTTGGAGGAATCCTATTATGACACTGTTGCACATGAGAGCTACATTTCCTCATATTTTGCACGTAAAAAGGTTAGCGATTATATAAGCTTCCATATATATGACGTCGATCTAAGTTGTTGTCACACTTTCTGGCCTAATAAGCTAGTAAGGACCTCAGCTCTTACTTGGGACGAACATATTTGGTATCATAAACATTAGTACTTTCTGAGAAAAATGTTATTCAACAACAGAGTGTTGGAACACTCGATTTCTCTCCTCTTTCTCTCCCTCTTCTTCTCAAAACCCGGCGACTCTCCCTCTCATCTTCTCCAAATCCAGTCGCCTTAGAAGGGGAAATTGAGGGAGCCAGGCATGCCAAGTGGTGGGAATGATTGGAGGGTGGCGTTAGGGTTCTGGCGGTGCTGGAGGTGGCCGAGCCAGGTCAAGGCAGGGGCGCCTATGGCCATGACGACAACGGGGGGGGGAGGGAGCCCGAAGGAGACTTAGGTGGCGCCTTCTGAAGAGCCCTTCGTAGGACTGACTCAGATAAAGCGTTAGAAGTACGATCTCCCCGCAGGCGCGGCGACAGAGCTCCGGCAAGACCCTACCGCGCGACAACGGAGCGTCAG